CGCAGAAACCTGCAGTCAAATATTACACTGAGCTCGATTTGTTTATTTTATATTATCCTCCTGTTCCCGAGGGCATTTTGACTGTAAATGAGAGGGTTTTTAGTGTGTTGGTGTGATGGATATGAGGTATCAAGGACTCTCATGAGTAATTTTCACATCTATATTTATCAAGGAAAGTTTATATTTTCTCTATTCATTGTGCTTATTTGGTTGGGGGCTCAAGGTAATACTGGTACAGGGATGAGTTTGCATGAATTCCTTTGCTTTCTCCTTTATGTAGTATTTTCTATAACCTTGATGTTTGTCCTAGTTATGGTTTCTGTTGCTACAACAAAACACTAGGACCAAAAAGTAATTTGGGGAGGAAAGAGTCTATTCAGTTTACACTTCCCAAATTGCTGTTCATCTACCAAGGAAGGTGGGACAGGAACTCAAACAGGGAAGGATCCTGGAAACAGCAGCTGATGCATGGGCTTGATTCCCCTTGCTTGCTCATCCCACTTTATTATAGAGCCCATGACCACCAGGGCAAGAATAGCACCAACCACAATGGACATCCCCCCCCGTTCCCCATTGATTACTAATTGAGAAAATGCTGGACCTCATCAAGGCATTTCCTCAACTGAGGCTCCTCCCTCTCTGATGACTCTAGCTTGTGTCAAGTTGACACACAAAACTCTCCAATACAGTATTCGTTCTTTTCCAAAGTTTTGATAGATTCAGGGAATCCATGAGGCCTGGGCGCTACGTGGTTGGGAGTCATTTTGCTACCAGTTGCTTATGACTCAGGTGTTAGTGTTTTTATTTTATTTCAGTATTCAGCATGTCTAGGAATTCCTCTCTTATTTTGTATTTTCCTAGGGTTTAATAGTTGAAACATACCTGAAATATTCTCTAGATTGTAGTTTGAGTACAACATCATCTTTACTTCCTAATTTGTATCTTATCTCTTTTGATCAGTTTGGGTCAGGGTTTTGCATTTTGATGTATTCTTGAAATAAAATTCTCTAATCTCAGTCTTTTCCTTTACATGTACATGTCCCTGATTCCATCTTTGATCTTTACTACGATTTCTAGTCTAATGGTTTGAGGTTAGGTTCATCTAGTATTTCTATGTCCTTGAAGGGCATCATTAGGCTGGTTTTTGATATCTCAAATTTCGTGATAGAGAGTTCATAGTGATAAACTCTATCTTAAAATTGCATTAACTTTTATTTCTAGCATTGCTTGCCCCTAGAATTTCAAAAAAGAGAAAGTGGGTAAAATTCAGCAGAAAATCATGGCTAGCCACATGGAAGAGGACATTCTTGAGAAGAATCTCATGATCTTAACATCTCTAGGCTTTGGTGAATATGGGGAGGTAAAGCTTGCCTGTCACCTTCCTGCAGGTACATGGGTAGCTGTCAAGATCCTTGGGAAAAAACAAAACAAAACAAAAATGCTATGGTTTGCATCAGCTTTGAAGTAAACATCCTTCAGTCTTTGGAACACAGGAACATAGTTCAATTTTTCCTCATCACTGACACGTTGACAACGATTTATGCGAACATGGAGTCTGTTGCAGGAAAAGATCTTGAGATGTTCCTACGGAATATAGATTATATAAAGGAGGAGGAGGCCAGACCAATATTCCAACAGGTTGTGTCAACAGCACACTTTCTCCATCAGAGACACACTGCACACCGTGATATTAAATTGGAGAATATCCTTATTGATGGAGCTGGCAAGCTTTGTGGCTTTGGCATGGCTACTCAGCTTGCAGAGGGGCAGATGTTGGAGAAATTCTGTGGCTCCTTGCTCTACTTGGCTTCAGAGATCTTGGCAAGGAAACCCAGTTTGCATTTCGAGCTTGGGATTTGGCTTATATGTACTGGTCACAGGGTAGTTTCCATATGCAGAAACCATCCTTCCCAGGCTCATCACCACCAGAAAGTATCCCATTCCTTACCACTGGTCAAAACCCTGTCACAATATCATTGCATACATGGTCCCCATCCAGTGCAGGATAACAATATGTCAGCTCCTGGAAAGAGGATGGCTGGACCACGTTGAAGAACACGTATCACTTGCAACTAAACAAATCCTTCCCAGGGTTGTAGTGTCTGTAGTAAGGAGAAATGAGAGGTGATGTAGAGTAAGGAAGAGATTCTGGCCTGAGGAACTTCCTATCAACAAAGTGACATGACAGATGTGTGTGTTGGCCTAGGGCAGGGACCCTGGACAAGTCCTTGCACAGCAGACTGGGAGGGGGCTAGGAATAGCCAGCCATGAGAAGGACACAGCCTGCTCTGATGGTTCCTATCATGTGTGAAGATATATGAGGATGCTGCCGCCTTGGAAACAATCATCCTGTTTTTTTCCTACTGAGCTAGAGTGTGAAAGGGGAAAAGTGCAGTCCTTTGATCCAGAGAGTCCTCAGTGTTGAAAAGTCATGTTTGTCAAAGTCACTAACAGAGGCACTTTCGTGCTTCTACTTCTAAGTGAGGAAAGTGAAATGGCCTAATTGAACTACAGTTGTGTGGTATGGTGCCACAGCAGGGATCCCGGGCTGAAATCTGTGATGCTGTGGCCCCATATGTCAGGATCATATGTTCCAGCTTCCATCCTCCAGCTATAGTCTCAGCTACATCGTCCCAGTCCTTCCCCTCACTGCAAACCCCACACTGTTATTGGACATCCCTAAGGTGTAATACTTGAAAAAAAAGTACATTTTCAAATATAATAAAATCTGCAAGCATTCCTCTCATGACTAATATCTAAAAGTTTTCTGGGGTTGCTAAGTGGATGAATGTAAATTTCCAGAGCTTTGTCCTTTTCACCAGAGGGGAAAGAATCACGTCTGCAAATATCAACAAATAAATTCAAATACCAGAGAATCTTTGAAAAAAAAATAATGTTGAGTACAGTTCATATGATCTAAAATTTATGGACAAGAGTAAGACATCCACAGAATAATTTCACAGCTGGCTTCCTTATGAAGAGCAGAGAAACTGCTCACACTCCTGGTCCCCACCTTCCTGTGTCCCAGTCATGCAGCAACTCTGACCTGGGAGGTTCCAGGGCCTCCAGGCTGTGGTTCCCGCCACTGCGCTGCTGATGCTGACTTTCCAAGGACTGTACCATGATTCCCCAGCGTGCCAGTCCCTGAGCTCTGTCAAGGAATGGTCCCTTGATACTACTGGTTTTGGCTCCTCTATCCAATTTCCCTGGCCTTTGCCACAGGATGTTCCAGCTTTCTTTCACCCAACTGATCCTGGTCCCTTCCACCCTTCCACACAACTCTAGCTGTCAGGCTGTGTGGACCCATGATTGCTGCCAAGCCTCAACCAGAACAGGATCTAGGAGGATGCTGTACCCTCATATCTGACCCCCCACAGTGAGTTCTGAACCCTTCAGATGCAAGATAGGCAGCGATGGACATAGAACAGGAAGAAAGGAGGAAGAGTGGGATGGTCAATCAAAAGGATGTATGAAGAAGCCTTATGAAATCCCACTGTTTTCCAAATTAGTAGGAAATACAATTTTAAAAATTTTGAACAGAGGTATCCTGCAATCTTGCTGCCAGACACCAGGGCTATTAAATGGAACTCTCTGTACCAGTTAATGGGTATCTGCCTAGAAGGCCCTAGAAGCACCCCAAACAAAACATGTCATTGCCTGTGCTCTTGCTTGACCATTTTGTTGTTGAAGACGCTATACCAGTTGGCTGCAAGATAGAGTGCAATCTTGAACTTATCAAGAAATTTTCCCTGCTAGCTAACATTTGCAACACTGCAAGGTCCTGTGACAGGTGATATCAAAGAAAAGATGTTAATGGTCTAACTGGCCCCTGGACCCTGCATCCTACATTACCAACCTACAAGCTAGAGTGTGTACCTTTCCCTTGTCTGAATTTGAGGCTTGCTCCATAGAGGAGAATTCATGTCCTGTACTATAAAAGCATGCTAAAAGAAATGGCTTGGAGAATATATTCATGTTTTGTTAACTATCAAGTTGTTAATGTCCGATCTAAATATTAATGTCTGTAATTATCAATTTTTAATACTCAATCTTAAAAGAAGCCTCCTTTGAAGTTGGCAGACTCATAACTGTCCAAAAGATACTAAGAACAGTCAACTGTGTAAGATTGGAACAATTACCAATTCATAATGGTATCGGTGGGATGGGGGTCCCATGAGTCTCCTTTCACCTCATGAGGGTCCAGTAACTGCTAAATGGAGGTATCTGTTTTAGAGTATTTTTCTTTAGTATTTTAAAATGAGTTTCCATATGTCCTTGGGGTTTCTTTGACCAGGCTGGCCTCAAACTCAAAATTCAATCTGCCTTTGCTTCCAGACTCCTGGGATTAAAGACATGCAGCAACACAACCGTAGCCTCTTTTTTTTGGAAGCTGTACATAAGCATGTTCATGTTAGCATAGGCTATTGCTTTTACAGTTTCTCACCTTCTTGCTATTAGTGTCACAGGGCCCCGTCCTGAGGAAGACCCAAGACCTTAATGTAACTGACTCCATTAGGGAAGTACCATTCAGGCTGTAAAACTCAGCACATAAAGACACCACCACCTGTCAAAAGTTAAAGGCCCAGCCTCAAAGTTCTCATAGTTCTTCAAAAGTCTCAAAATGTACAAACCTTGCCTTTAGCTTCTATAGTTCTGTATCTGGCTAAAACTGTTTTTGTTAAATGGAGTAGGTCAACCCAGAGAAAGGTTAGTTGCTACAATGGGATCTCAAACACCTAGTAAAGTTAACAAAGACTTTCTTTGGGCTTAAACCCATGTCCAAGCAGCCTCACCTAGAGAATACCCAAAACAGCAAGGTTTGACTCTAGTAGGGAGGTTCTGAAGGTCAAAACAAGATGAGACTTTAGGAGAGCATTTTCTTGTGTTTTCTTTCATGATGAATTTACTATTATGTGGGCAATTTCAGCACTGGGGAAAGAATTTATCAAATTGAATGTATTTCAGAGGGGCAATTTCCAAAGAATAGACACACATAGAGATTATATATGATATACCTTTATATAGTTTCTCAGAACTATATATTTTGTGATGCACATCAAAATTAGTGTTTTTTGTCACATTTTTTATGTTACAACATTTTGTCCTCATATTTTGTTGTTGCTTATTGCTAGCAACTCACTTATGTAGACCAGGATGACCTCTGACTCAAGGAGATCTTCCTGGCTTTGCCTCCTGAGGGATTATATTAAAGGCTCCTGCCACCTCGCTCATCATTACTATGAATCATTACATGTTGAACAGGATAAATGTTTTCATTACAGCTTTTCCAAGGCGCTGGAGATATATGGCTTAGTGGCTAAGAGCAATGTCTACTCTTCCAGAGGACCTGGGTTCAATTCCAAACATGCATACCAGCACACAATTTTCTGTTAATCCAGATTTAGGGAAATCTGATAAGCATTTTTGGCCTCTCCAGTGCACAGAAATACTCACATACAGTGCAATCATAGAAACACACCCTCCAAAAACCTTTCCTAGTTACTTTTGCTGATGTTATTTTCATATAAATTCTGTGAAATTTAACATTTAAGGCATTCACAAGTTCCTTATCTTTGTTTCTATTGTTGTGATTTCTAAGCAGAGACCTGCAGTTAAAGCTAAAAGCTATATGGTATTAGCTGGGCGTTGGTGGTGCATACCTTTAATCCCAGCACTCAAAAGGCAGAGGCAGGCGGATCTCTGTGAGTTCGAGGCCAGGCTGGTCTACAGAGCGAGTTCCAGGACAGCCTCCAAAATACAGAGAAACCCTGTCTCAAAGAAAAAAAAAAAGCTATATCATATTATTTGCAATGGTATTTTTTCTCACCACTATGAATTTTCTGATGTCTTTTAAGATTAAATATTCGGATAAAGGACATGTCACATTCTTTGCATTTGTATGGTCTTTCTCCAGTATGAACTTTTTGATGTGTTCTAAGATATGAGTTAAGGGTAAAGGACTTGTCACATTCCATACATTTGTAAGGTCTCTCTCCAGTATGCATTTTCTGATGTTGTCTAAGAGTTGAGCACTCAGTAAAAGACTTGTCACATTCTTTACATCTGTAAATTTTCTCCCCAGAATGAACTCTCTGATGTGTTCTAAGATGTGAGTCCTCAGGAAAGGATTTGTCACATTTCCTATCTCTGTAAAGTTTCTCTCTAGTATGAATTTTCTGATGGCGTTTAAGTGCTGACAACTGAAGAAATGACTTTCCACAATCTCTGCATCTGTAAGGTCTCTCCCCGGTATGAATTCTCTGATGTATTCTAAGATACGAGTCAAGGCTAAAGGATTTGTCACATTCTCCACATTTGTAGAGTTTCTCTCCAGTATGAATTTTCTGATGATTTCTAAGATTTGATGACATATTAAAGTATTTGTCACATACCTCACATTTGTAAGGCTTCTCTCCAGTATGGATTCTGTAATGCCTTTTAAGATGTGATACTTCAAGAAAGGACTTACCACATTCTTTGCATTTGTACAATTCCTCTAGAGAATGAGTTTTCTGATGTCTTCTAAATGACGAATAGTGGGTAAAGGATCTGTCACACTCACTGCATTTGTAAGGCTTCTCTCCAGTATGGAGTCTTTGATGTGTTTTCAGACTTGAGTACTGGGTGAAGGATTTGTCACAAACGTTGCACTTGTAGGGTTTCTCTCCAGTATGAATTCTTTGATGCTTTGTAAGAGTTGACTTCACAGTAAAGCATTTGTCACAGTTCTCACATTTATAAGGTTTCTCTCCAGTATGAATTCTCTGATGTTCAGTGAGGCTTGAGGCAGTACTGAAGTATTTCCCACATTTTTCACATTGGTGTGGTTTCTCTCCAATGTGGATTGGTTGTTGCACAAGATTGTTTGTAGACACAAAATAGTTATCATATTCTCCCTGTCTGTGCTCTTTCTCTGCAGTGTAGACTCTCTGATCTTGAGTAATGTTGGAACACAAATGTAAAGATTTCTCACAATCTTTAGATTGGCAAGGTTCTTCTCCAGTGTGAATGCTTTCATGTCTGTCTGGGTTTGGTGAGTCAACAGAGGCATCCCTGTGACCACTGCATGTGTAGTTATTAGTGTTTTCTGGAGTTTCACTTGTTCTATGAAGTGCCCATGTGGAGGGGTCATGAAGCACTTTGTCAAGCTCATCACACTGACAAGACTCCTTTTCAGTCTTCACATGGTGATGGACAGGATCATATTTGTAATAGTTCTCTGAAAATGAGTACATTTTAGATTAGTAGGGCTTTTTCCAAGATTAAACATTTGATACATGACTGTTGTTAGTATTCAGGCATCTGTACTGGGGTTCTGACAGGATGTGCCCTCAGCTGCAGCCACTAAGAGACCCACCTGTGCATATTCACTATGCTCCCTTTTAAAAGGGTCCTGGCCACCTCCCATCCTTCTCTATTTCTCTCTCCCTGTCTGTTCTGCTCTCTCTCTCTCCTTCCCCCCATCTCCTGCTTATCCTGTCTCTGGAGACCAATTTCCCCTCTCCCGTTTTTATGATCCTTTACCATAATAAAAAAATCTCTGCATGAATCCTGTCTCATGGCATCTTTATCTCGCAATGCTGCTTTTCTTAAATTACAACAGTCTCCCTAAGTTCTCTCTTAAGATAAGCCACCAGCAACTATTTAGACTAGAGCTCACTGCAGTCAACTTTTTCCATCACTAATTTATGGATTCTCACAAAAAGAGTGATAGCTTTCAAGGAAGTTGAAACAGATAATTGAAGAATTAGTCGTTAGCTTTGGAATGGAGTTTACAGACTGATTATATTTACAATATATGTCTATTTGAAAATATTTTTTCTCAGAAATTGATGAAGCAGAGTTTAATCTAATCCCCCGTTCACAGTGTTTACTTACTAATGTACAGCCATGAAGATTATAGTTCAGAATATCCAATTCCTTTTAAGATTAAAGGCTTCTTGAAAAGCATCAAAGGTTTTACTTTATTTTTTTCTAAAAAGCGCACTAGATTCTTCAAAAGTAATGGATGCAAAGCCAGTATTCTGCCAGACAATAGAGGCTCTAGATCAGCAGCTCTCAACCTGTGGATCATGACTGTCTGAAAACACATTATATCTGATGGTCTTATGAAATGAGGCATCACTTAGTAGCAATGCTATAGTCAAGAACTAGCAACAAAAACCATTTTATAATTGGGAGTCACCAAAACAAGAGGAACTCTACTAAAGGGTTGTAACATTACCAAGGTTGAGAACCACTGCTCTAGATCATTTGATGCAGGGCCATCATGGGAAGCCAGTGTTTATTTCTATTCACCATTGATATTCATGCAAGGAAGGCAATTACAGAATAACCCTACTTCATGGACTCACATTAGACTTAGAATTTTGTGAAATCATTCCAATCTGTTGTCAGCATAGTAAAACAAAACTATTTTGTACTCGTATTAAGTCACTATAATTGAGGTGCAATAAAACACATCTAACAATTACAACGGGCAGGATGCATCCCCGGGCCAGGATACTATACTAAGTTCAACTAGCAGGAATCCTTTCAAGTGGGATTGAATATTGCAAAAGCATTGTCAGCTCTTTCTTATTCTTTCACTTGAAGCCATCCTGTTGTCCTGCTCATTCACTAGTCCACTCTCTCCTCTCCACATTCTACAGCAATCTCATTTGCTCCAGACAGCTGGCCATGCCTACCTTGCATACAATAACCCATGTTTTCTGTGATGTAGCCCATGACACATGCTAGAATTTTTAGAAAGAATACAGATGTCAGACATAGTACTGTGTTCAGTACAAGAAGAGAACACGCAGTAGAGGCATATAGGAATGATTTCCCAATGATATTTTTCCTGTCAGAATCTTCAGCAATATTTAGGGAGAATTTTCAGTTTGTATATTTTGATTTTCTCACAACTAAGATAATGTCAAGTGCAATGACAGACATGGAGCTTTAAGACATGAGTGGGAATATTATATGCTACTGGGTTTCTGAATGCATCTTGGAACCAAAATGAAAGGTGAACAATACCTATAAAATGAAGAGACAAAAAAAAAAAAAAAAAAGATAAAGATCTTTTCTACTAGTAAGAACTCCCTAGTCTCCTGTTGTTTCCAAGGCAGCCTAACAGAGAGTTCAGAACCTATAAAGTCAGTACAAGGCCAGAGTTAGGAATTCTCCAAGCAAAATGTTCTTACCTACATAGATCAGGTTGTTGTAATTCTCAGACATCACATCAATGTACAAAGCCCTCTGAGCAGAGTCCAGGCATTCCCACTCCTCCTGGGAGAAGTCCACTGCTATATCCCTGAATGTCAGCAGACCCTGAAACACAAAGTACAGTTTGTGTTTCTACCAGCAGAGTGCTTTCCTGGATATTAGGAGACTTAAGGAAACCAGGGAATTAGATGAGTGAAGACAATTACTCAAAAAGATGACTTTCAATATAGTCATATCCTATAATGGGTTTTCTAACTTTGTTAAAACAGGGTAACACAACAGTCTCACAACAATATGCATGAAGCAACACACATTTAAGGTCTGGACACTGTTGTGGGAATTTGATCCAACAGCCAATTGACTCGATAGGTGTGGTCTTCTCTGGGGGTATGTGACTGGATAGTAACTGAAGGTAAGGGTCACACACACTCTCTTAAGACAGTGTGGGAGCTGGTAGAGCTATGGCTTGGAGGTTCCCCTTCCCCTTTGGTAATGAGATTACAGTGCAGTGTCAGAGAGCTGGGTCCCCAGAGGGATCAACGTAGCAGGTGGTGATGCGACCCAGATACCTCCTTCCGTCTTGTGATCGTTGTGCAGATTTGATATTAATAAAAGGTAAAACAATCTCCAGGATTCCTACAATATCTGGTGCCCACAATGACTACAACACAATAATGCTATTGAGCCGATAAACACCACTTAGAGATTGGCTTTGGACTACAAAGTGCTCAGGACAATTCCAAGATGGCTAGTTGAGATGGTCCACCACTTATATCACTCTAGCCACAACTTCAGATAAGCTTTACCCATTATTCAGACCCTGGCCAAATGCTGCAGCTAGTCCTCATGAGACATAATGTTTTACTTTTACAGGGTCCCATAGAGATACTGTCACCCCTCAGATATCAGGAAGTAGAACACAATGCCCCCTTTCCTTAACAAGTGGGGTGGATGACTTTGGTTTTCCTCAGGGTTATAAATAATTGTCATCTGTAGGGGGTTGGTAATAAGATGTTACAGGGTTGTGGGCAGAACAATAGAGATTAGAGTCAGTGATCTCATTTGGAATAAAAACCAGGGGTTAAACATGATAGGATAATAATAAGGTAGATTATAAAATCTACTTGTAAACTAACAAAGCAACTATCAGTTTTAAATAATTTACATTGGTATGGATTCTTGTGTATTGATACAAGTTCACAATTATTTTTGTTATATTGTATATATATTCCTACTTCTGCTTAAAATACTTTTGTATATTTACATAAATGTTTTTTATTTACATAAATGTTAAGATTACTTTTATTGTATGTATGTATGTTTGCTTCTATTTAGGATATTTTTGCAAATTAAGGTTATTTTTGTCATATTGCATTAAATTTCTTTTTTAAAAAGATTTATTTATTTATTACATATACTGTGTTCTGCCTACATGCCTGACGAGGACACCAGATTGAATTGTAGATGGTTGTGAGCCACCATGTGGTTGCTGGGAATTGAACTCAGGACCCCTAGAAGAGCAGTCAGTGCTCTTAACCTCCGAGCCATATCTCCAGCCCCCTGCAATAAATTTCTACCATTGGTTAAGGTATTTTTGTATACTGTCACAATCTCGAGGTTATTGTTCTTATACTGTGTATCTGCTTCTATTTTCGCATGAGGTCTTCTACAGCTTGTTTATTTTTGCTCTAGACTTTAAGATATATAGGTTAATAAGAATTACGGGTTAATAGTCACCATGTTTGTCACACTTAGTCATATTGGGTCTTCTAGGTGCAGAGAGATATATTTCAAATAGGTAGGTAATCTGCAATCACTTCAAAGACCTACAGAATATAGCATTTAATGTTTTAATAACTCAGAATTCTTTTGACGTAAGACAAGTGCTTCTGGGAGCACTGACCTACCCCTGAGAGAATGGGCACCAAAGACACCTGATATGGAGTGGTGTTTCCCCCCCTTGGCAAACTGGCCAATCAGGCAAAAAAACTGCTCTTGCCTCAACTGCTGACAGTATGTATGCTGTATAATCCGTACAAGCAGGGCACAAGGAAAAGTGATTGTCAAACTTTGCTGAGACAGGGTATGACAGTCCTTCAAATTTTTCTGCTTTTGAAAATGGTCTGTCAGATATTTGAGGCCTGTAAGTCAAAGTTGGATGCCCCAGTGTTACAGAAGAACCTTGGGTGACTGTCCCGGCAGCCAACTGCTTCTGTGATTTCTCATAATTTTTTGGAAGTTGCTTGCTTTCACTTCCTGCTTGCTCGGGTAACATTGTTTTCTTCTCAGGTCTTTGATAAGGCTGAAGACTAGATAGTCACAGTTACAATCCTCATAAATCTTAGGTAAGGACATATTAGGTACAAACTTAGATTCTTTATGAAAAGACAACTATTGAAGTAATCTCTATAAAACTTGTCTTTTACTGACAGTCTGGACACCTAAGATGTATATGGTTTTATTGTAAATTGTTTTTATTATATTAGGATTAGAATCTTTTTGTTTTAGACTAAAAAGGGGGAAATGTGGAATTTTATCCGACAGCCAATTGTATTGGGGTAGCTTGGCCCTATGGGTGTGGTCTTCTTTGGGGTTATGTGACTGGAAAGAACTGAAGGCAAGGGTCCTGCTCTCTCTTGGATGGTGTGGGAGCTGGCGGAGCTACAGCTTGGAGTTTCCCCTTTGCTGTTTTGTAACAAGGTTACTGCAGTGCCAGAAAGCTGGTTCCCCAGTGGGATCAGCAGAGTAGCTGGTGATATGACCCAGATTTCTCCTTCTGTCTTGTTATCATTGTGCATAGATTTAACATTAATAAAAGGTAGAACAATCTTCCAGGATTTCCTCAATAGGACATGGCTATCAGTCTCTTATGGATGCTGTGTTATGTTGCACAGGATCGCAGAGGACATGTCTCAGAAGGATAATTTATAAGGAGGAAATACGCTTTTAGATGTTGTGCCTGAAGGACATGCTAAAATTATCCTGTTAGTGGGCCTTAAATGATTCCACTGTAACACGCTCAGTTCATATGTTTAGATTCTAGGTCCAATGTCACACCATTAAAGAACAAAGGGCTAGATAGGGGAGGCAAAATTTATGATTAACTAGATAAAGGCTGGGTTTCTTTTTTACTATAATAAAAAGGAACATAACAATACTATATACTGTCAATTTTAACTTTAATATATAAAATTAATCAAGTAGTCTATGGAATTAATTTTATGAGCATATTAGGCTACTACCAAGCAGGCAGAAAAAGTAGCATCAGCCACATATGATATACTCCAAAATTTTCTTAAAAATATGCAGAAGCTGACTTAGACAAATAATTTCAGAAGTTTTGACAATCTTACTTGCAAAATTATAAAAAAAAAGCTTGATGGAAGTCCAAAAACATATTAATATTTAAGTTACAGCTCAGCATGCACATATAAGTATAGTACATTGTGGGTACATTCAAAAGTGACAAACACTTCCTGTCAGCAAATGAATATTAAATCCTGTGAGAACTATAGCAACTTTTCAGTGCTTTGCAAATACGATACAGCTCAAACAATGGCTCAAGAGAAAATGTGCGCTACTGTGTCTGAGTTTTGTAGCTCTCAGTGTGTTCTTTTTAGTTCTTATGCTGTATTGTCTAATAGCATTATAGGTTAGTGGTGTTTATGATTGTCTTAGTTAGGGTTCCTGTTGCCATAATGAAACACCATGACCAAAAAGCAAGTCGAAGAGGAAAGGTTTATTTGGCTTCCACTTCAGCAGTGCTATTCACCACTGAAGCAAGTCAGGGCAGGATCCTGGAGGCAGGAGGTGATGCAGAGGTCGTGGAGGGGTGCTGCTTCACTGGCTAGCTCCCCTGGCCCGATCAGCCCACCTTCTTATAGAACCCAGGGTCACAAGTCCAGGGATGGCACCATCTACCATGGACTGGGCCCTCCCACACTGATCACTAAATGAGCAAATACTCTACAGCTGAATGTCAAGAAGTCATTTCCTCAGTTGAGGCCCCTTCTTCTTGCTTGTGTCAAGTTGACACACAAAACTATATAGTACAACTGACCCCTTGTCAACTATAACATACAAATACATCACTAGTAAGCCACAGCCCTTCATTTATTAATCTCCATGATCTTAAATAACTTTAAAGTCACACAGCCTTTACAAATTTAAACACATTAAAATTTGAGTTCCTTAAAAACAGGCACTTTCTTTAAAAATCTGACGTCTTTTAAAATTCAAGTCTCTCAGCTGTGGGCTCCAATAAAGTACTTTCTTATTTCAAGAGAGAAAAATTAGGGAACAGTCAATCACAGCAAAACAAAATTCCAACCATCCATTATCTGGGATCCAGTCATGATCTTCTGGAGTCCTCCACATGACTTGTTCACCTCTCTAGCTCTGCCCTCTGAAACACACACAGTCTCTCTTCTAGGTGCCCACTGGATACACTCCACTGCCGTCACTCTACTCGGTGGTCAGTCGCCCCATACTGGCATCGCCCAAGTGCTGTGGTCCCTTGCTGCAACTGGGATGCACTTTCACCAATAGCCTCTCATAAGCTCTCCTCACGGTACCAAGCCTCAGCTTCGTTGCGTGACCCCTTCAGTCCTGGGCCTTCAACTGCACCTTCATCAAAGGCCTTTCCTGAACTCTCTTAGTGCCAAGTCTCAGCTGCTCTCTATGGCCCCTTCATGCCTCCAAAACCAATATCATCTGCATGATGCTTACATGATACCAAGTCCGGCTGTCAGCATGAGGTACAATCTTGACTGCCTCTGGAACACAGTTTCTCCATGCTCTCATGAAATACTTCCCAGAAGATTTCACCTTGGTGATGCTGGTCTCTTCTTAACCACCACTAATTTCTTAGCCAATCAGCACCAAGTATCCCAACAAAAGCAAACTTTTGCTTTAGTAGTTCTGGTATCTTGTTAATCACAGCTGATTCTTCAGCCCCAGCTAACCAGAACCACGGGATCTTAATTCAAAATAACAATCAAGACCCTGATAGATTCTTTAAACTTCCCTGCGAAACTCCACAAATCAGGCCTCCATGCTCGGCATTGCTCTAAGTATTCTTATCTTCCAAGCACCTAAAGAATATCCCACAGAGCTCTTAACACCCAATGGTTCTTCTAGTCTAAAGTTCCCATGTTCTTCTACAATTCTTCCCAAAACATGGTCAGGTCTGTTGATAGCAGTATCCCACTATGTTGGTACCAATTTGTCTTAGTTAGGGTTCCTGTTGCTGTGATCAAACACCATGACCAAAAAGCAAGTCCAGGAGGAAAGGGTTTATTTGGCTTCCCTTTCAGCATTGCTATTCACCACTGAAGCAAGTCAGGACAAAAACTCCAACAGGGCAGGATCCCAGAGATAGAAAGTGATACGGAGGCCACGGAGCGGTGCTGCTTACTGGCTAGCTTCCCCTGGCCCGCTCAGCCCACCTTCTTATAGAAGCCAGGATCACAAGCCCAGGGATGGCACCATCCACCATGGGCTGGGCCACTAAATGACAAAATGCCTTACAGCTGGATTTCAAGAAGGCATCAGTTGAGGTTCCTTCCTCTCTGATGACTCTAGCTTATGTCAAATTGATACACAAAAGCAGCTGGTACAGTGATTCTTCTTTTATTTCTTTGAAAATACAAAGATGTCGTGACATATTCTGTCTGGGCCATGAGTCACGGATAGAAATGCAAACCTGCAGCTCAGAGTTCATTTCCCAAGTCTCCACTTTTAAAACACTGCAGCTTCAGGGTGGGAGAGTAGAGCCATGACTCTCATAGAAACTGACTAGAGCAAAGCCATCATGAGGAACGCTCTTTCTGCATCAAAGGTGATGGCTTCTGCACATCAATCAGTCAATACCCCAAGACACGACTACTGCTGCATTTCACATAATGTCACATAATGAATGAGTCCCAGCCAGAAAAAAAGGTCTGCACAATGAGATCCTCCAAGTAGGGGACAAAAAAGACAAATGATAAACAAAACAAAACAAACAGCTGATCTCTCCTGTTCAGGAAGTTACCACTGAGCATCCTAACCAGGTGGGTGATGTGAACAGGAATTCTTCTCAGACAAACAGATATGAAGTATCAACAAACAAACAAAAGAACGCAGTATCACTGCTGTGATATTAAGCACCAAAGAGCAATACAAGTAGATTAGAATATACACACAAGAACAACAATTCGTACATACACTTGTCATGTTCAGCACTTTATACTGTGCTTAAATCTTTAGTATTAGAAACCAAGTATTAATGAAACCGAAGATATGTCTCTTTTAATTCCACATATTCCTAAGTGATTCCAACCAGTCCATGTGTTTCAACATGCATTTTTACAACCATGATTCAAGGAAATGGGGCAAATTCCACAAATAGAGCCTACATGGCATATGAGCCCTGACTCAGCAACACAATAAGCCCATCCTCCACATCAATTGGGCATCAACATTTTTTTTTTGGTCATGTGTCAAAATGGAAATATTTTCAAAGTTACATGTGGGATACCACCTACCCAAAAAAAGTCTGGGGAGAGCAGAATAGAGATAAGTGCTATGAGATAGGGAATTACAGAATTATATTGTATAGCCATAGTGACAGAGACAGATTGGTATGGGAATAAACATAGACAGGAGGATAACAGAATAACATAGACAATCCAGAAAGAAAACCATTAATCCATTCCCACTTAATATTTGCCAAAGGGGGGAAAATACATTAGAAAAATATGGACTTTTCAACAAATGGTGCTAGCACAACTGGATCCAGCAGGAGAATTAGATGCTTAGTCTTTCACACTACACAAAAATCCAATCAAAGTGGACCAAAAACCTTATTTAAAACCATACACCCAGAAACCTAGAAAACCTAGGGAATACCCATAAGGATGTTGTGAGTTCTGGATTAGAAAGAACACCAACAGCAGCACAGGAACTAACCTCATGTATCAACAGATGGGACTACATGAAAATGAAGAGTTTCTGTTTATCAATGGAAACAATCAGCAGAACACAAAGATATCCCACCGAGTGGGAGAGAATCTGTTCCGGTGATGCTTTGGATCGGTGCTCATACCTAGAATTTACCAAAAATTACAGAAATAACATGGAAACAAAACTGCCAATCAACAAACAGGAAACAACTGAACAGACACTTTTTCAAAGACAGAAACACAAACGCCCAAGGATCCCTAAACTGCCAGGAGAGAAATGGGTACAAAAACTACTTTGAAATGCTGCTTACTCCAGGAGAGGCTGTCATCAACTAATGTCACAGCAAATGTTGGAGAGGATGAGGAAAGTGTAATGAACTGAAAACCAAGCCCAAGCCCAATGAGAGAATGGACAGCAGTAACGTCTCAAGGGTTTATTATCTGACAGCCTGGCACTTCTGCTCTGGAGAGAAATGTACTCCATCTGCAGAGAACATCGTTCTTTTACATACATTTTGTTTCTGGGCAAGCAAGGGCAAGGAGGCGGATCACTAAGGCCGAGGGAAAGCAGTTAGCTTAAGCTGCACCACAAAACTGTTGAAAATGTTGAAACAATGGACACGGCTCCAGCTATGACCCAGCTTGAGCAACTTCATATGTTACCTTGTAAAGCCAGTCTGAAGGACTTTAGATGCTATCTCTTTCGTGTGATGTCACCTTCCTCACAACACACTGAACTTAGGTAAAGAACAATTCAACCCTTGGGTTGGTTTCCTTTTTCTTTTAGAGAAGATGTATTTCTCAAAGCCAAGTCTTATTCATTGTTGGTGCGGATGGGAGGGTGGTGCACATTAACACACTCAAATGAAATCAGTTTGAAGAGTACTAGCAAACTAAAGATAGAACTAACATAAGGCCCAGGTCTTTCAGTCCTGAGCATATACTCAGAGAACTCCACACCCACTATAGAGATATTTACACCCCGTGGTTGTATGCATAATAACAAAGCATTATAATCAACCGAATAATCTATCCAAAGATGAATTGACAATGAGAATGATATACATACAAAATGGAATACTATTCAGCTGAAAAGTGTATTAAAATTTGCAGCAAAATGGATGGAGTCATAATGTGAGGTTCTACACTATCAGCAGGAAGAAATCATGTTTTCCCTCATATGAAGAATCTACTGATTAATATTTGTATATGGGATACAACATACATGTGGGTACAGTAGAACATGGAGAAAAAAGAACAAGAAAGGTTAAATATAAGTATTGATGTAAGATTTAGAGGGCATGTAATCAAAATCAGTTATGAAAAGATATAAAGCTAAGTGCATTTTATTTCTTTTCTTTTTTTTTTTTTTTCCGAGACAGGATTTCTCTGTGTCTTTGGAGGCTGTCCTGGAACTCGCTTGGTAGTCCAGGCTGGTCTCGAACTTACAGAGATCTGCCAGTCTCTGCCTCCCGAGTGCTGGGATTAAAGACGTGTGCCACCAACGCCCAGCTCAGATTTTTTGATTTCTAATGATAAACAGATCAAACTATATTGGATACTGAAACTATAAAATCCCTTGTGAGGCTCCAGAGATTCTGTTCCCAGTGACTATTCTAACTGTATAAAAATGTATTGAGTTGTACAGTATTTGGGTCCGGCAAATTTCAATGTATGACTTTTTGTTTGCAATATTTTTCATAATAAACTTTAAAAAACTCAGAAGCAGAAAATTAGAGGCTCCCAATGTCTCAACTATAACATTTCGACCAAAAAATAAAGGAACATGATCACTGACCTGGAACAGATTAATTGGAGAATCAGCCATTTCTTTCTGTTTCTCTTCTTTGAGTTTCTCTTTCAGGAACAAGGAATAGATGGCTTGCTTCCCTTTTATATTAAGGAGTCAAAAAGCAAAAGTTAGTAATGAAAGCTGTTAGAGAACAATGTCAAACCATATGAAAAGACCCAAGCAAGAGAGCACGATCAGGTGTCCCGACAATGATCCCAAATCTAGGAGAGCATGGAAAGACATTTAAAGCTTGAAGAGAAAACTACCATCAACAATATTGTTGCACAAAAAAATTTCTATCTCCAAACTGATGTAGACATAAGTGTATTTAAGGCAGTCACAAAGTAACACAGTTCATTTCACTAAAGCAGCATTGCAGATGATAAATTAGAGGCAAAATACACACAGGAGAATTAGATGAATTTTCCACGATGACGACAACGTTGTACATAACAAGTTTCAAGTGAAGAATAGATAAATGCAGGAGAACTAGGAAGTAATCATCCATGGGAAAGACAGCGAAACACTAACGATCACAAAAAGAATACTATGAGTATTTCAACCAGCAATAACACCCCCACCAAAAAAATACGAAATAAAAAAAACAGAAATCTAGCCACTCTGAAAATCAATATGGAAAATCCTGAAAAAGTTAAAGAAATATAGCACATGACCCAGCTGTACCACTCCTTGTCATATTCTCAAAAGACTCAATATCCTACTCCACAGATACTTGGTCAGCCATGTTCATTGCTGCTCTACTCACAATAGCTACAAAAGGGAAATGACTTAAATGTCCTTCCACTGAAAACTGGATAATGGAAATGCAATACACAGAACCCATGGATTTTTCTCAGGGATTAAAAAAAACTGAAATCATGAGTTTTGAGGTAAAAGGAAGGCCCTGAAAGGATTATATTGAATGGAGTAATCCAAACTAAGAAAGATAAGACCCTTCGAGCCACCATGTGGTTGCCAGGAATTGAACTCAGGACCTCTTTGAAAAGCAGCCAGTGCTCTTAACCTCTAAGCCATCTTTCCAGCCTAGAAAGACAGACATTGCACGATCTCTTTCATAGGAAGCTCTTAGCTGCAGTGACTGCTGTTTCAAGAAAAAAACAAACAAACAAACAAACAAACAACTTCCCATCTAGGCTGATAATGCTCCCACAAGACATTTTCTAACCAAACCACCCACACAAGGCAGGTCACAGCTGTGGAAGATTCTCCCCAAACATAACAGGCTATTGCTGTTGTCCATGCTTGCCTCCCAGATGTAGAAGGTGATTCCCTACTACTGAAGAAGCCAGGTACTTCAAACATAGGACCCAGAGGATGAGAGCTGGAACTGACCTTAAAGATTCTTCCCAGAAGGCAACATGAAGCTTCCAAAGGAAGGAAACAGCCAACAGTCCCATGACACCTATGAACCACAACAATGATATGCACTGAGTGACATCCTTAAGGGTCCAAGAGTGGCACACACACCTTGGTGGTAAACAACAGCTTCTAATTGGATTAAGACCCTCTCAACAAGATGGAGAGCATGCCTGGTACTGGAAACCTAGTCAGTTTCCCCAGGGCTAGCAAAGGCATGGATCCTGTAGGAGAACCTACAATCACTACTTTACTAAATAGGCATAATCGCTAACTGCATTCTAAATATTTTCCTTATTCCCACAGATAAATGTAGTAGTCCTCATCCCTCATCTATCAAACTTCCTTATGCAACACATGGAGATTATCACCAAAAAGCACAGTCAAGATGTAGACTTGTGATGCTCCGTCCCCACTGACACACAAACACCACAACTCCTTCACCTCAGCTCAGGGATCACTGAGAAAGAGGGGCAGGAATAGTGTAGGAGCCAGAGGAACAGGATGCTTGCTGAGAGATTGTGTCTCCTAGCAATGTCAGAGAAGCTACGTGCATGAAATCTTACAAACATGGCTGACTAAACATGAGCTCAACAAGGGCAACACCAAGAATCACGCTAACACAGAAGCTCACTAGGCCTCAACCCTAGTCAAAACACCAAGGAATCCTGAGAGCTGCAGAAATACTCTTCCCCAGAGAAGAGTGCATCGTATGGTTATCCAATACCAAATGTTCATCCTGAAAACATAGAGTAGGCTCTATTTTTATATTTAGGAGACAGCCATGAGAAGATACTACAGATAAAATTTAACAGTCTGTATACATACTTCCTGATTCTTATCAAAACCCTGTTGGCATAGACAGGTATACCAATGGAATCGATTGAAAACCCTAATATTAACCCATATATGTATGAACATCTGATCTTTGACAAAGAAGCTAAAAATATACAATGCAATAAAGAAAGCATCTTCAACAAATGGTGCTGGCATAACTGGAGGCTGGCATGTAGAAGAATGTGGATAGATCCATGTTTATCGCCATGCACAAAACTTAAGTCCAAATGGATCAAAGACCTCAACATAAATCCAGCCACACTGAACCTCTTAGAAGAGAAAGTGGGTGGTACCCTTAAACAAACTGGTACAAGAGACAGCTTTCTGAACATAACCCCAGTAGCACAGACAGTGAGGTAGATAATTAATAAATGGGACCTCCTGAAACTGAGAAGCTTCTGTAAGGCAAAGGACACAGTCAGCAAGACAAAAAGGCAGCCCACAGAATGGGAAAAGATATTCACTAACCCCACATCTGACAGAGGGCTGACCTCCAAAATTTACAAAGAACTCCAGAAGCAAGTCTCCAAAACACCAAAGGATCCAATTAAAAAGTGGGCTACAGAACTAAATAGAGAATTCTCAAAAGAGGAGTCTAAAATGCCTGAGAGGCACTTGAGAAAGTGCTTAACACCCCCAGCCATCTGGGAAATACAAATCAAAACAACTCTGAGATACCATCTCACTCATGTCAGAATGGCTAAAATCAAAAACACCAATGACAATTTATGCTGGAGAGGATGTGGTGAAAAGGGAACACTCCTCCACTGCTGGTGGGAGTGCCAACTCGTACAGCCACTTTGGAAATCAGTATGGAGATTCCTCAGAAAAATGGGAATAAACCTACCACAAGATCCAGCAACTCCATTCTTAGGCATATATCCAAAAGATGCCCACTCATACAACAAGGATGTCTGTTCCACTATGTTCATAGCAGCATTATTTGTAATAGCCAGAACTTGGAAGCAACCTATTTTGCCCCTCAACTGAAGAGTGGATAGAGAAAATGTGGTATATTTACACAATGGAGTACTTTTCAGCAGAAAAAGAACAATGGAATCCTGAGATTTCCAGGCAAATGGATGGCACTAGAAGAAACCATCCTGAGTGAGGTGACCCAGTCACAAAAAGAGAAACATGGCATGTACTCTCTCATATATGGATTTTAGACATAGACCTGGGGAGTGCCAGCCTACAATCCCATGGCCAGAGAGTCTGGGAAACAGAACCTTCATTCAATCAATGGCTGATGGAAGCAGAGGCAGACTCCCACAGCTAAGCACTGAGCTGAACTCAAGAAATCCAGTGACAGAGAGGGAGGACTGATGAGCAAAGGGGTTAAGACTGGGCTGGTTTAAACCCCAGAAACAGCTGACCTGACAAGGGTTAGCTCTTGAATCCCAGACTGATGCCTGGGAATCCAGCATGGGACTGATCAAGACCCCCTGAATGTGGGTGTCAGTGAGGAGGCCTAGGTAATCTATTGAGCCTTGGGTAGTAGATCAGTATTTATCCCGGGTATACAAATGGACTTTGGGCTCCCATCCAACAATGAGAGATGCACTCTCACCCTGAACTCTTGGGGGAGGGTCCAGACCCTGCCCTGGATGAAATGACAGACTATGGACACCCCCAAGGAGGGCCTCACCCTCCCTGGGGAAATGAGGGGATATTGGAGGGGTTGGTGGGAGGGCACGGGAGGAGGGGAGGGAAAGGGAGAGGGACCAGGTACTGACATGTGAAGCAACCTTGTTTCTAATTTAAATTTAAAAATAAAATATATACCCTGTTGGCATTATTTTCAGGGATGGAGACATTAACATGAAAAGGAAGAGAACATGCTAGGATACCAAAGGCTTCAAAATTCTGAAAACAATAAGCAAACCTAGAGGTCATAATTTTGATATTTTATAAGACATTAAAAGCATGGGCATCAAAACCAATTAATATGCTAAGATGACATAATCAGTGACGTAAATCAGTAAGAATCACTCACATCACAATAAGCATCACTCACATGCATAGTCAAATAAAACTTTATCTGTCTCCTAGTGTCAATTCTTCCTTAGAACCTCTTCTCCTACCTCCAATAGGATAACCCAAAGGAGCTCTATCTCAGTTGAAGTCTCCAGAGTCATTTCTATTGAGACAGAATATTGTAGATGGAGGTTTCTGCCCCGCCCAGTTCTGAGGCTGTTTATTCCCAAATGAACACACAGAGGCTAATATTAATTATAAGCTGTTTGGCTGATGGTTCAGGCTTCTTATTAGCTGGCTAGCTCTCTCTTAATTATTAACCCATTTCTATTAATCTGTGTATCTCCACGTAGTCTTGCCTAACTGGTGATGGCCAAACCTCTAGCTACCTGGCGCCTCACTCTGGCAACTACTTCCCTGCCTTTCCTCTTCCAAGAATTCTCCTAGTCAGGTAGCACCGCCTATACTTCCTGCCTGGCTACTGGCCAATCAGCATTGCTCATCAACCAGTAAGAGAAACATATTCACAGCATAAAGAAGGACCGCCACCCTCGCAATACAGCAAAACGGATTTCCTGTTCCGCTTTCACACTCACTTGATTCCCTTTCCCAAGTTCAATGCCCTCCACCACACCTGGATCCTTAGTCACTGTCTCTTCCTCCTCCATCTTCCAGGCCCCTTTGTTGAGCTCCACAGGTGAGCAGGTCTGGGTGACCAATGAGCCCTGCACATGAGAAAGAGACTCTTTAGAGGATTTCTCACACCGCACTGCGTAAAGTAGATAAAGAGAAAACAAAACACAGGGTTACACCAGTGATTCCCCAATTGTCCTGCAGTGTCAGAATACTGAAAACAACTAGAAAGCATCTTCAGTTTAGTGTAACTTGAATCACAATTGCAATCACACCTCAGTCAAAACTCGGGGATAGAAATGGGGATATCATACTAATAAGGTTCTGAATTAATCATGGACCAAAACTGATGGAAGCCTTACATCTCTCAAAGGGATACACAGGAAGGAGAGAGAATATTTCATGAAGATTTTCTTTGTTCCTCGCTTTATTCTGTGAAACTCATTCACACTTGCAGATTAGTTTGTCAAGAAACCCTGAGGGACTAGGCATTGGTGGCTCATGCCTTTAATCCCAGCACTTGGGAGGCAGAGCCAGGCGGATCTCTCTTGAGTTCTGAAGCCAGACTGGTCTACAGAGTGAGTTCCAGGACAGCCTCCAAAACAATACAGAGAAACTGTGTCTCGAAAAACAAACAAGAAGGAGGGAGGGAGGGAGGGAAGGAAGGAGGGAGGGTGGGAGGGAGAAAGGAAGGGAGGAAGGGAGGAAGGGAGGAAGGGAGGAAGGGAGGAAGGAAGGAAGGAAGGAAGGAAGGAAGGAAGGAAGGAAGGAAGGAAGGAAGGAAGGACTGAGGAGGAGCAAGGGAGATTACTGCAGGCAAACTATTCTAACCCACATAAACCAGACTGCTGCAACTCTGCAACATCCAGTCTCTGTACAAAGCCCTCAGAGGAGGGTCCAGGCATTGCTCCTCCTCCTGGGAGCCGACCACAGTCATACCACTGTCAACAGACCACAAAATAAACACCTCCATTGAATCATCCTGTTGGTGCACACCTTGAATCCTAGAAGTTGGGTGACAGCGGTGGGTGGGATTCTGACTCTTGTTAGTTCCAGTCCAGCATGGTCTACGAGGTGAGTTCTTGTAGTTCTGTTCTTGGATTGCCAGATACAGCAAAGCAAGAACAGAGAAAGCAGAAACAATAAACCAAAAAAACCAGTTTGGTTTTATGTCTATGGAAAAAGTACTTCTCTTGATCGAAGGAAGAAAAAGACAATTGCCGACATTTTTTCTGATGTACATGAGTGACTATAATTACTAAGTGTCTTTTAATATTGTCCTATACTGCAATGCTTTTTCTTCCTTCTATTTTGGTTATTTTCAAGACAGGGTTGAAGTTGTTCTGGAGACCAGGCTGGCATTGCAATCAAGAGATCCACCTACCTCTGCCTCCCTAGTGCTGGGACTAAGGGTATGTGCCACCGCCACTTGGCTTATAATTTTTTTTTAATTTTCTACCTGAAAACACTGTGATCTGAGTGCCTCAAACAGCATGCTGCACTTTCCAGACGCTAGGTGCAACATTGAAAATTCAGAACGAGAAGACACGTTTCAGTTTATGTTTGTTTTCGGTTTTTGAGACAGGGTGACACCTGTAGCTATGTTATGTCCTGGAATTCACTATGTAAACAAGGCTGGCCTCAAACTTACTGAGATCCACCTGCCTCTGCTTCCAGAGGGCTGGTATTCACCGCCTGTGCCACTGGGCCTGGCAAGGACGCTTTTCAGAATGTTGTATATCATATACTGCAGATGAAAAATTAATTAGAGGTAAAAGTTTACTTTTAAATGTTAATTTTTACAGCCATAACTATGGACCTCGAAAATATATACAAATATATACTATATACACACATGCACACACACACACACACATATATATCTGAATTTGTCAAACCTGCAATCATTCCTTTCATAACAAGTATCTAAAAGCTCTCTGGGGATGCAATTTCACAGGTCCACACTCCACCCTCTTGACCAGGTAAGTGGTTTAACAGGGTAGTGAATGTAAATTTCAAGAGCTCTTTACTAGCCACCACCGCACACAGAAATGCGTCTGTAAATATCAACAAATAAATTCAAATCTCCTACTATAGTATCCCTACATGAAAAAGAAAAAATCAGTAATAGTCCAGTTCATACGACCTAAATGTACGCGAGAGGGAAAGACACCCGCAGCAGAACTTGGAGCCGGCTTCCCGATGAGCAGCAGAGAAACCGCTCGCACCCCGTCCCCTCCCTCCCGGGTCCCAGCCCCGCGGCTCCTCTGACCTGGGAGGTTCCAGGGCCGCCGGGCTGCGGTTCCCGCCACTGCGCTGCTGCTGACGCTGACTTTCCCAGGCCGCCCCGCGCGGACACTGCGGCTCCGGAGTCTCCAGGTCCCCGCGGCGCCCGCCGTGTCCCCCGCACCCGGGTCTGCAGCGCGGTTCCCACCGTGCGGGACCCGGGGCAACAGCAGAAAACGGGTAACGGGCACCCGCGGGCTGAGGATCCCTTGCTCAGCTAACCCGGCCTCGGCAAAGCCCCTCCCCTCAGGTCACGCCTCTAGCCCCTCCCACGCACTTCCTCCGCACGTGACCAATGGTAAACAACCGCCTTCAACGTCTGCTTCCGGTTTCGTGTCCCCGCCCCACGGCCCCGCCCCTCCCACTCGGTCTCCCCAGGGCTGCAGCTGTCAGGCTGCCCTGGACCCGCTCTGCACAGACTCCACACACGCTTGCTGCAGCCTAGACCAGAGCTGCATCCGGGAGGACGCTGCACCCCGGGGTCTGACTTTCTTATCCTGAGTTTTTTGATTAAAATTGCTGAGTCCAAAGCCTCATATTTAGGGATTCCAGTGACCTGGCCTGTAACTCCATAGAGAAAACACAACAGCCCAGCAGCAGTGGAGCACATCTTCAATTCCAGCCCTCGGGAGGCAGAGGCAGGTGGATCTCTGTGAGTTCGAAGCCAGCCTGGTCTAAAAGAGCTAGTTCCAGGCCAGGCTCCAAAGCCACAGAGAAACCCTGTCTCAAGCCTCCCCCGCCAAAAAAAGAAAGGAAAAAAAAAAAAAAAGAAAAAGACAATAACCAGAAATCCTGATGTTAAGCTTCCAAACCCCAAACACAAACTAAGATGAAATATTGCTGCCATAAATTCCTATTTCCATAACTGTATCCCCTAAGGAGACCAAAGTAGATGAAATATGGGAAGCAGAACAACCCCGCCCCCCAATACACACACACACACACACACAGACTTTTTGTTTTGGGGTTTTTTTGTTTTTGTTTTCTGAGACAGCATTTCTCTGTAGCTTTGCAGGCTGTCCTGGAAATAGCTCTTGTAGATCAGGCTGGTCTCAAACTGTGCCTCCCCAGTGCTGGGATTAAAGGTGTGCTCCACCAACGCCCGGCTTTATGAGGTCAAAATACATAAGGAGGAAGCAAGCCCCTGAAGTAAATCAAAAGAGGGTGGGAACAAAGGGACTGGAGGACAAGAAAACGCAAGCAAATGGCTTGTCCTCGAAGAAAGAGTACACAACTCAGGCTATGAATGCTGAATTCAGTAAGGAGTTAGGAAATTCAAATTGAAGTCAAAGAAGCAAAAAAACACAATAGTAAATCAATGAAAAGCCTCTCCACAAGAATACAGGAAGTATGTTCTCGTGGAAGCCCCACCTCAAACCCCTCCCCTCTCCCTCTAAAACCTGGTACATTCCAGAAAGCCTGCCAAAGAATGAGCCCTCCCCTAAGGTGCTCAAGACCACTCCCACAGGGTATTTGCACTGTCCCTCATTCAGTCAACCCTCTCAACACTGTAAGCATCCCACTACACAAGCTCCTATCATTCCTCTTTATTTTATTTTACTTTATTTATCTTAGCCAATTACAAATGGAATGTCAAAAACATCACATGGAAACAAGATTCTGGCTACTGTTGGGCTAGGGTTGAGGATGGAATCACAAATTCATTTTATGCAATACAGGTGTTGTACCTGAAGTTTCATGCTCAGGGCTCATGCTCTGATCTAGTAGCACCATGGTTTGCATCCTACACTGGCACCGGGAAAAGATGCAACACACCCACAAGGCCAGGCTCTCCACCAGGCCCAACCCTGAGGCCAGAGAACTACCAGAGTATTGGACTCGCTTGCACCCACCGAAAGGGAACTCCTAACCACCAGACCAGTAAGGGGCTCTTTCTGCATACACTAGAAGAAGCGATGGGAAAGAGACAATACAAAAACACACTCAGCAACAGAAAAACAAATTCTAGAGACTCCACACCAACAAGACTCCAATGTTCCAATGCAAATGAAGCAGAAGAGAATGACCTTAAAAACATCTTCATGAAAATGATAGAGACCCTAAAAGAGGATATAGGAAAATCCCTCAAAGAAATGGAAGAAAAAGCAAACCAAAAAATGTAAGAAAGGAAGAAAAACAAACCAAAAAATTTTTAAAAATGCAATAAATGGATGAAAAGACAAAGCAAAAATTGTAAAAAATAATTCAAACAGTACAAGGGCTGAAAACTGAAATACAGACAATAAAAAAAACAAAATCTGAAGGAAGACTGGAAATAGAAAAGCTGGACAAATGGTCAGGTACTACAGATGCAAGCATAACCAACAGAATACAAGACATGGAAGAGAGAATCTCAGGTGTTGAAGATACACTAGGCGAAACTGATTCATTGAACAAAGAAAATCTGAAGGCCAACAAATCCCTAACACACAACATCCAGGAAATATGGGACACCATGAAAAGACCAAACCTAAGAATAATAGGTATAGAAGAAGGTGAAGGGACCAAGCCACCAGGAACCTTCAGAGAGAGCTGGGCCACTTCTGCCCACACTCAGGGCAGAGGTCAGAGGTGAGCACCGGATCCCCATCTTACACTCGATTTCCTCCTGCACTCCCTCTCTCTCGGATCCCCCGGCTTGGGGACAGCAGCCAGGTCGACTCCCTCCTGAAGGACTACCAACTGACCAGGAGCCTGCAGAGAGACAAACCCAGGACAAAGGGCAGAGAGCAGAGGCCAGAGATTATTGGATTTGCTTGCATCCACCGAAAGGGAACCCTCATCGACTACCCACCAGGAGAGGAAGAGACTCTTTCTAAACCCACTGGAAGAAGTGATGGGGAAAAGGCAGTATAAGAACACACCTAGCAAAAGAAAAACAAATATATGACACCACCAGAGTCTAGAGATTCTACACTAGTAAGACCTGAACACTCCAATGCAGACGAAGTGGAATGGAATGACCTTAAAAACACCTTCATGAAAATGATAGAGGCCCTCAAAAGGATGTAAGAAAATCCCTTAAAGAAATGGAAGAAAAAACAAAAAAATCCAAAAAATGCAAGAAAGGGAGGAAAACACGATGCAAAAATTAAAAGAAACAATTCAAACAATGCAAGGATTGAAAGCTGACATGGAGACAATAAAAAAACACAGTCTGAAGGAATGCTGGAAATAAAAAAACTGGGGAAACGGGCACGTATTACAGATGGAAGCATAACTAACAGAATACAAGAGATGGAAGAGAGACTCTCAGGTGTTGAAGACACACTAGGAGAAATGGATTCATCAACCAAAGAAAATCTGAAGTCCAACAAATCCCTAACACAAAATATCCAGGAAAAATGGGACACCGTGAAAAGACCAAACCTAAGAAAAATAGGTATAGAAGAAGGAGAAGAAAACCACCTCAAAGGGGCAGAAAACATATTCAACAAAATCATAGAAGAAAAATTTCCCAAACTAAAGAAAAACTTGCCAATGAAGGTACAAGAAGCTTATAGAACACCAAATAGAGTGGATCACAAAAAAAAGTCCCCTCGCCACAAAATAAAGAATACTTAGAGCAGCTAATGAAAAAAGTCAAGTAACATAAAAAGGCAAACCTATCAGAATTACACCTGACTTCTTCATGGAAACTCTGAAAGCCAGAAGGTCCTGGATAGAAAATCTACCAACACTAAGAGACCATGGATGCCAGCCTAGACTACTATACTCAGCAAAGCTTTCAATCACTATAGATGGAGAAAACAACATATTCCATGACAAAACTACATTCAAGCAATATGTATCCACTAACCCAGCCCTACAGAAAGTTCTGGAAGGAAAACTCCAACCCAGGAAGTTAACTACAACCAGGAAATCATAGGCATTAGATAAACCCACCTTACCAACAGCCAAAAGAAAAAGGGGGGGATTCCACACATAATTCCACCACCACCACCCATCCCAAATCAAAGAAGAATGAGCAAACAATGGTCACTAATATCCCTCAATATATTAATGGCCTTAACTCGCCCATAAAAAGATACAGACTAACAATGGATTCGAAGACAGAACTCATCCTTCTGCTGCATACAAGAAACACACCTCAGCCTCAAAGACAGACATTACCTCAGAGTTAAAGGTTGGGAAAAGATTTTCCAATCAAATTGCCCCAAGAAACTAGCAGGGGTAGCAATCCTAATATCTAACAATTTAGACTTTAAAATGAAATCAATCAAAAGAGATGAAGGAGGACATTACATACTCATCACAGGAGAAATCCACCAAGATGAAGTTTCAATTCTGACATTACTAAAACTCAAGTCACGTATAAAGCCCCACACACTTATAGTGGGAGATTTCAACAGCCCACTCTCACCACTAGACATGAATACCAGACAGAAACTAACGAAGAAACAAACTGTGGGGGAGCCCAGAGTGCAGTATGGTAGGACTCAAGTCCTTCCTGCCTGGGTTGGTCCATTCCATGTCATGCATCATACACAATCCCCCAGTGAAGCAGAAAGAGGCAAGAACCCCTGAACAAATGGGGGGTAGGGGTGTACGGGGGAGAGACATAGAAGAAAGAAGAGGGGGAGAAGAGGAGAGGAGGAGAGCATGAGGGATCAGGAACATTGAAGAGGAGAGCAAGAAAAGAGACACATCAATAGAGGCAGCCACTATGGGTTTAGTAAGAAATTGGCACTAGGGAATTATAAAGAGATCCAAAAGGATGACCTCAACTAGGACCCTAAGCTATAGTGGAGTGGCTACCTTAAATGCCCGTCCCCTATAATGAGAATGATGACGACCTTAAATGTCATCCTAGAGCCTTCATCCAGCCTCAGTGACACACCTCCAACAAAGGCACCATGTTCCCTTTTAAAAGGACCCTGCCCAGCTCCCATCCTCCTCCTCCTTTTCCTCCTCCTTCCTCTTTCACTCTCTGTCTCTCTGTCTCTGTCTCTCTGTCTCTGTCTCTGTCTCTCTCTGTTTCCCCCTCTGTGGCCTCTCTCTTGCTGTCCCTCTTTCCTTTCTCATGTTACTCTTGTCCCCAAATGGCAGTCTCCTCCCTCCCTGCTCCCCTTTCCCCTTTCTGTGATCCCTTTGCCTAATAAAAAATAAAACCCTCTGCTTGAACCCTATCACAGAGCATCTTTCCTTTGTGGGCTGCTTAAATTACAATAATAGCCCCTTGTTCCAGTAACCCTCACCTACTCTTCAGCTATTCCCT